GCTCAAGTATCCTGCGGGAACAAATGGCGTGTGAACCAATTGTTGGTCACCGGCTTCCATAGGACTGCATCTCCTTACGATGCTCCACTGCCTTGTGGATCAAACCTTCAGGTCGAAGACTCGGGGAGTGGCCCCCTAAGATAACCACCTGTTCCGGTTTGGGCACCCGGGCAGTATCACAGCCCGCAAACATATCGGATGAGATTTGTGTGGCGCATATGTATTTGGTGCCTCCCTGTACCAATATCTATGTGTTAAAATAAAATTAAAAAACGGAACACTTGTTCTTTTAAGTTATCAAGGTGAGTTAGGAGGCAATAAACATAAGAAAAGCTGTTTTTTACTACTTAATTACCATAGCGATATGAACAAAAAGAGAAAGCTCTCGGTTCGAGGTCGTTCACCCTACTGTACTGAGGCGTAACAGCAGTAAACTGTTCCCCTCAGGTAGCAGTTATCTGAGGTGAAGCTGCCTCTTTACAATATTAAGGAGTTAGAGTAGATTTTACCTAAAAATAGCATTTTCCACTTTGCCCCGTGGGTTCCCAATTTATATGGTGAAAGGTTTTTGAAGTATGGAGTTAACACACTTAAATTTACTAGTTAAAAGACTTCATGTGACCGATCCAAACCAATTATCCTTTGGGCTCTGGGACAACGCACCCAGGTCGTCAAGACTATTCTTAATCCAGTTCCACTCTCATGTACCCCAGGAAGCATTATTCTTCCATGGTGTAATCATATCTCCAACAGCGTCCGAGATCACCTTGTTCGAACAATCTTTATTATTCATACTAAATGGTAACATAATCTTTATGAAATTCCAATATCAATATTCTCCTAAAGCGACAAATTATCAATAATGTAGAGGAACAACTAATTGGTAATATCAGATGGGTTTTGTGGATATTATAGTAATTTCAATGGTTAAGGTAATGAGTCAGTTGAAGCTAGACCACCATGGAAAACCTGGAAGCACTGGGCGACTGTTTCGTACTATTGTGGGACTCTTCAATAGTGCACATCCACGACCTCGCCCTCTGCGAGATTCAAACTCAGGACCTACTGGTTTCGCGTGCGAACACTTAACCACTAGACCACGGAGCCGGCATCCAACGGTGTTAATGTCTAACTTCAACTAATCCACGAAATTGAGCGACACACCCACCATTGTCTTCAGTGAGTCACTATCTCATAACAGGCCTTGTTGAACTTCACTGGTTACTGCTTCTTATTAGAACTCCAGGATAAACCTCGTGAAGCCAGTCACTAGTGAGCATATGTTGATTAATATCATAGGGGGTTTTTTGTGGATATTATAGTAATTTCAATGGTTAAGATCATGAATCAGTTGAAGCTAGACCGCCATTGGTAATAGATAAACAGACTTGTAATTAGAATGAATGATACCAAGGTCTTGTTTAAAAGGAATACAACATACAACATTATGTGTAAACAAGTAATAATTAAATTTTTTTTAAATAAAACAAATAAGTGGTAAATTATAAATTAAGACCATTGTGAATAAACAATTCATTCTGATCAATTTTCTTCAATGTAACTTTTCTCGAATAGAATAACTTGTATTATTATTATTATTGACGGAATGACGTCACTTTGAAGTTATTAAACAAGGTGTAATATTTATTTTAATATCTTTTCTAGAACAAGTAGATTTGAAATGAATGAACAAGACTTGTATATAAATGCTGAACAAGTATTCTTTTAAACTCCGCCTGTAGCTCTTCTAGAGTTACTGCCGGTCCCAAGCCCGGGTAAAGGAGGAGGGTTGGGCATGGGGTTAGCGTCCCCATCCCGTAGAAAACTAACTCGCTAAAAAAACGCTTGCCAGAAAAAATAATTCAAACATTCATTATACTACTAGAATATAATAACTAGCACTATTGAATGGTTGATCAGTTTAAAGTAATGAAAAAAATTGCTTGTTATTACAGATCAGTGATATCAAATGTTTACTTAATTAAAACAAATTTAATCTATATTTAAATCACAATTGTATAAACGAAGAATGTTCGTTTCAATGAGTTTCATATCGGGTTCTACAATTATAAATCCATAAAATTGGCCAGATTTAAAGCACCTATTTGTATAATTTAATACTAGAGTAATTAAAGTCTAACGGTTTAGTTCCTGGTTCAAGATCTGAAGGTCCTGGAGGGGTCGTGAGCGCTCTGTTGAGAAGTCGTATACTCAAGAATAACAGCTGTATATCGCTATCCCATTCTCAGAGGTACCACAACTGAGATCAGTCCAAGACGATTATGTTCCACTTACTAATTAATTAACAAACCTGACCTTGAATAAACTTTCTGAAAGACACATGGTTCAATACACGTGGATAACTACGGACATTCATTCGATTGGGAAAATGTAGAAATCTTAGACAGAGGAAACTCCAAAAACACCAGAGAATTTCTAGAAGCCTGGCACTCAGGTCAATCAGCAATCAACAAACATATTGAAATCAATCCAATTTATCAACCAATCAGAAAAATCATGCATATATATAAGAACAAAAATCAAAACAATGGGAGACACAACCTAAACAAAGAAGTGAACAATGATAAATTTAAGGTCAACAAGAACCAATCAACATCGAGGTGCACAGAACAAGCTGTGAAACACATATGGAGAAAATCGAACACTTCACTTCAATCTGAAGTTTGTGCTGATGATGTCGTTCAGAAGAACGATGAAAGCTCCACGACCAAACCATCCAGCTCAGAGAACAAAACTCCATCAAAATCATCCACCTGAGCTACAAATCTTCTCCACCATCTCAGGTTCATAAAGTTCTACAATATTTTATCCCAGTATTAATTGTGTCACTAAAATCCGATCTATTCACACATTCATTGATTAATCTATCGGATAAGTGAAAACACAATCACGTGAATATAACGATAGATAAAACAATCAGGCAATTAGTAATCTAAGGTTCGAAAAAACTTTATTTTCTGATTAACTGTAAAACAATTTAAAGGAAATTTCACTGAAAACTTAACGAAATTTTGGAATCATTTCTTTACTTACTAAAACTATTTATTTAATTATATAAACGTGAATTGTAGAATGATTACACCATGTCTTTACTGCTGACCAATGTTTTGTTGCAAACTACAGATTTAATGTGAACAGAGAAACAAGAAACCCTGACAAACTACGAAAGCTATTTTTCGGGACGTTATTTCAGTTAATTCGAAGCTTGTAAAACATTAATATTAATTTTTGTCCTTTATTTATTCTACAAACCATAAGTTTTCGTTTAGTGTATGATTCACTGTCATAGCCCTTTTTGTTCCAAAGCTATTGTAATTTAAACATAATATTTTGCACCCTATTTTCTACACTAATACTCAGTTCTGAACACAAATGTATTTATCAGTTTAAAAGTTGTGGAGATTGTTAAGTTTTTGATTGAGATCATGAACCGATTGATGTTAGACTACCAGTGAAAACCTGGAAGTACTGCACGGCCGTTTCGTCCTGTAGTGGGGCTTCTCAGCAGTGCGCACCCACGATCCCGCTCGCGGGACTCGAACCCAGGGCCTACAGTCTCGCGTGCAAACGCTTAACCTACTGAACCACTGAGCAGGAATCCAATGGTGTTAGTGTCTAACATCAACGAATCCACAAAACTGCGCGACTATCTCCCATTTTAGTGAGGTAGATACCTGTCTCTACCTGACACGGGTTAGCTCCACTGGTCACGGCTTCTCACTAGAACTCCGAGAATTTTCTCATGAAGCTAGTCACTAGTGAGCACATGGTAATTATCAGTTGAGGTTGTGGAGATTGTTAAGTTTTTGACTGAGATCATGAACCGATGGATGTTAGACCGTTTCGTCCTATTTTGGGACTCCTCAGCAGTGGGCATTGTATTTTCCTTATTATTGTACTTTGTGGTCGGGTTAGTCGTCTATTTATTCATGTACCTTTTTACACTAATCTGAAATCGGGAAATTGGGGATAGATCCAGTAGTGTTCCAGTTGACTTGTCTTCTCTAACTCGCGTACTTCTCAGCCAATCAGGTGATAGGATAGTTTTCTTCTCTCTAACCCACTTCGAACTCACGCATACTAGCCTCAAGGTTAAACCGTCAACCTATCGCGTCAAGGTCTTAATCTAGATTAGACAAGTTATCCTCAGCACCAAAAGTGGGTAGACAGATCAACGACGTAACAAGATTCCTAGTTCAGGATGAAAATAACAATAAATTTATAAATTTCATGCAATTGGTTCCCTTTATGAATTTAAATAGAGCAAGAACAAACATTGATGCAGAATAGTATGAATTCATATTATTTCGAGGTTTCTCGTCAGCTGATTACAACCCAAAATTGTGATAGAATTTTTTTACATGGAGATAGTATGAAACAATTAACATATATGAGTGTAAATAACTGGATTACAGTAATTACTGTATTTACTAAATTTAAATGAATTAATACCTTAGGTCTCGAGTTTTAATATTACATCATACTTTGATACCTCAAAAATTGCCCTGGTATGGCCAAAGGTGGAGAAAGTCATCTCTCCATCTCGAAATGCACTCACATGACCATGTGCATAGAGCCACTACCAGGAAAGTCCTACTCACTGCATTCTCGCGGTAGCAGTGTTGTCTAAAAAATTGAGAGAACGAAAAGCGAAAGTCCGGTGCTTCAACAGGGTTGGTGGACATGCAGACTCTACACAGGGGAGTTGGAAAACCCTGATTCCCAATCAATAGTGCACATGAGCTCCAGTACCCCGAAGGAACAAATGGTGTATGAACCAATCGTTGGTCACAGACTACCATGGGACTGCATCTCCTGACGTTGCTTCACTGACTTGTGGATCAGACCTATAGGTCGAAGGCTCCGGGTGTGTCCCCTAGGAAAACCACCTGCTTGTGCTTGGGCACGCAGGCAGTATCTCAGCCCACACAGAGATCAAATGACTTGTGTGGCACATGTGTATCTGGTGCCCCTTTGTACCAATATTTATGTGTTCAAATAAAAAAATAAAAAAACTTCAAAAATTCACTCTTCCTTCAATCTTTTCCACTACTCCTGATACTATTACTATTTCTACTATTCCAGCATTTATCTTAATAATTTCATCTCACCGTTTTAATATAGTATGACAACATGAAAGAATGAATATATGCGCCAAACTCTACGTTGCTTACGAAGATAACCAGTGTTTAGTTGATAGAAAAAATCATTGAATGCTTCAAATCTTAAAATTAAATGATTCCTTGACCTAACACATAAATACAACGACCAAATGAGTAAAAAACATAGAAAAAAACTTGTTAAAGTTAAAAAATGATTCTGTAACATAATTTCTTTTTAAAAAAAAGATGAAAGACTAATGATAATGGAAAGTTATCGAAATGTTGTATGTTTGAGGTCGTCAAGATGTTTTATCATCCCCTTACTGATTTATTTTCAGGGTAAATAGATAATAACATCATATACTAAATTAGTTTTTAAAAAGGAAAGTTCATATATATTTCTTTATGTATCTTGACGTAATATAGAAGAATGAAATATGTCAATAGTTGTTGCAGAACATGTCCGAAAGTCATAGTCATGTACACCGAGACCACAAAATTTATGTTCAGGACGACGTATATAATCCAACCCACGACCAATTTTAACAATCCATCCACTATCAAATCTATTTTTCATTTTTAAAAACAGCAACAAAAAAAAAATAAGACGAAAATATTTTCAACTAAACACACATAGATGATCATGAATAAAGTGAATAATTTTATGGGATTTGTTCAATACTAAGTTATAGTGACAACATAAGCATGAATGTGGATTGATTGGAACTGTCACATTTAATAATTATATCAAATCTAGAGAAAAAGGTTAACAAGATGAATTTAGATTGGATTAATTAGATATAGCTTGAGGTTGGTATATTTCTTTATGTGGTCAGCAGTGGAACCTAAGATGCACACATATAGTCTTATCTGGGACTTTTCAGGTGGATATATCTCCAACTTCGTGTTGTTATTTATACTGAGACTTGAACCTAGTACCTGATCACTTGCTATTTTGAATATTAACAATAAGAAATTACAAACGTACTTAAAACCTTTATACTTGCTGAACAATTTAATGACTACATAGACTCAATAGTTAAATAGATATTATGTTGATATTTCAAGAGATAAATAATTGGTCCAAGTTTCAGTGTAAACATCAACACCAATTAAATAATTTCTCGTATTAGCACTAATTATAAAACACAACAGAGAGGAAAATACTCAAAAAACCAAAACATATCACTGAACTCTGATTTTCTATAAACCAATAAATTACATGCATAGTAACAGGATATTTGCTCATGAGATTGTAGCTCTTTTTAATATTTAATGTGCGTATGCCATCAAGTATTTCCGAGTATTTTTCCGTTCATTTAATAGGTGAATGCTGCATATAAGGATATAATTTTAACCGAGGATTTTATTTCAAGCTCCAATGTTCACTTTATTTGTTTTATTCATCCGGCAAGTTGGGAGGCGCTACAGTGAGGAATTCGTAGAAAACATCTAGATAGTTTCAGATCATTAAAATGAATTCCTTAGTGAAAACCATGCTGTCATATATAACGCTAATCCACTAAATGAACAGAGAGATGTTCAAAAATTCCAGATATCGTACTTACATTGAACATTGGAAAAGGATATTCAACCTCACGACATATGTATACACTAATCTTTTTGAATTGACCACAATGGTGGGAGATGACTGTTTAAAATGAAACCGAACAATTACAATCCGAGACTATCAAAACGAAACAACAATCAACTTTTTATCTAACTAATCATTAACTAACCGTATCTCTCGATCATGTAAGGTATCCGAGAACGTCCACTCAAAAGTAACTGAATGCTTTTCTAGATCACCCTTTAACATGTTAAACTTTTCTATTTGTTCATCTGGATGCTAAAATAGTAATTATAAATGAAGAAATAAATAAATAATGATAATAATAGAATAGGATTTATTTGTCCAATAATAATCACTTATACAGAAAAGGGATAAATTACACTCTTATAGAAAACTGCATGGTTGGTCGTTATCAGTAGCTTATTAAAAGTACCGCTGAATGACAGCACCAAACCATTTATTCTCTGAAAACTAGTTTGACGCTATACAAGGAGTAAACCACAATATTATCAACGCACTAAATAACACGGAAATACTTAGTTTATTCCAACCACAGACATTAGTTGTGGGAACAGGAGTAGCTTGAAAGAAAGCCGTGGACGATATAGCAACAGTCCATGTACTTGGTAAATGTTGAACTGAACCGTATTGGTAGGTGGAGACAATGTGGTTAGAACTTGCATGATAACAGCGACAAGTAGTTGGAGACGCTGAATGATATGATTAAGAATCGTTTCCAGTGGCACATCTGCATTTAATGTTTATCTTTTCTTAGATTATGAATTTCGATATTTCTTCATATATTCCATTTCAAACTATATTATCCATTCTCAGTCTTCCCCATTATCATTACTGTACCTCGTTAATTTCATTTCATCGTATTGATTCCATATAGAAACTCGAGTCAGAGTACATCTGCGTCAAGCTCTAGATTGATTATAGCTAACAGACACTTCATGCCAAAAAAGTCTCAGTGAACGTAAATTATTTTGAAGCCTTTAGCAAAGGTAAATACTACGGTTTAGAAGCAATGTGGGATAAATTATTTTTGAGGTATTGAAATACTTACAATACACTAACTAATTTGCATTGGAAAGTTGTTTCAATTTAATTGGCTAGATTACCAATTTAATATTAACTAAAAAGTTGTATCCCGGTTTGTGAAATTAAATAAATGATGAAGTTGTGAAGTTATTGTCATTTTCGGTCAACAGGTCACTTGGATTGACAACCACTTCACTCATGATTTACGTAAACAGACAGTATAGCTATCCTTCAGAAAATTATAACAGCCTATTATACGAAAACGAACAGACTAAGTTATGTACACTACAAATAGATGCCAACTTATAGTGTTAACGGTAATTTTAATAATCAAAATAAAAGGCTAACTTCTTATCCATTTATTTTTCAACGATTAATATGCGAGTAAAACTAATGTTAACTAGCTATCAACTGATATGTTTAGCAAATATACGTATATGATCAAAAAAATGACAGTAAATGGAGAAATACTAAGTTGACTGAATATTTATGAAGGACATTGGTAGTAATTTCATAGTGTTAATCTTCTTTTGCTATACTGATGAGAAGTGACGTTGATTGACGACATTACTTTTCCCAAGTTGGTTACGTTTACAGATTTTCAATAGTAACAGATGAGTGTGTATATATATTTGAATGATTTAACCACTACTAGGTGGAATATTTGATTCCTGCTCTATCTACTTCAGTCCCTAACTCTTACAAATGTGTAAGATTCAATGCTTGTTAAATCAATCAGTACTTGCCATTTCATTGCACTAACTTGTCAAAGCGAAGTGTAATCAGTATTAATAATAAGATATTACCGATGAGGGGTCTATTATACTATGATACAGGTAGATCGGTGCGAAACTATGGCAAGTCCTGATAACATGATAAACCAAATATGTCACGTATTTTTACAAGGCCATAAAAATCACAAGTGTGAGAAGAATAACACAAATCTGGTGATGAGACGTCTGAAGTCATATAAGCCTCATCATACCCTTCATCGATTAATTTCAATTATATTTTGAGTTGAAAATTATTTCTAATCAATGTATAAGAATTTGAAAAGATATACTCCATAGTGGTAGAAAAAATATATATAACGAAAACTGATTTTTGACTCGGATTAAATGGATTAAAGGTGGACAAATTAACAAACCTGGGCATCTTCTCCGGTGGTTAAATAAATATTTTTCACCTTCGACACTGATTGAACGATGACTTCACAAAAGTGAGAAAAATTCTCAATCTAAATAAAGACAGTTTTGCATATATGAAAAATTTTGGTTAACTTGATAACTATTTCTGATATACGGATCTTCCACCCAAACTTTCCTTACTGTACCCTCTTCAAGAAATCTTCCAAAAACCTTCTTGTAACTGTAACCAATAGCACCTTCTTCTATAACAATTTGTTCGTGATAATTTCCATCTAATATGAAAATAAGATGAGATAGTTTTTTAATTTAACTAACTTTCTGATTCCTTTTTAAGTTTTTCCTTAAGTTTTTCTGCATGGGTTATATACTCTGAAACTTTCAGTCTGAATCTGTCTTTGAATTCTGATTCTAAAAACAAGAATTTAGTAGTGTAAACAAGTATATATTACGTGTATTATCAGGAATAGAACGTAGAGCTTTGATGAATAAACCAATACTTTCTTCATAGCATGTCAAACTTTCAGTAAATTTTAATTGTTTCTCAAGTTCTATGGCTCGAAGCATAACAATTGAGCCCGCTTCTATCAGGGAATTCGAAGTCATCGTAAATGATTCTTGCGGGTAGATTTTTCAACAAGTTGGCTGTTTTTTGGAATGATGATTTTGAAAAAGATTAAAATTTATCATTGATTTTATCGAAGATAAACCATCTAGTTCATTATGATTATTATAAGAGAACAAATATGTTTTACAAGACATAAGATTGACATTTTCTAGATAAACACGAATTTACAGTCGAAGTCCGAAATCAGTCAGTCAGTCGGCAACAACGTAGAAGTTCGTACGTACCTATATCAGTTCAAGTTGCTACACCACATTAGCACAGAGATGCAGTGGTCGATTCAAATCCCGTAGTGATAGAGGTAGTAGGAGTATAAACAGTAATCGGAAAGATTAGGGTTTGGAGATGTTATTTAAAGAATATAATAAAGTGAAACAAATTTGGAAAGAGAAAAAAAGAGGCAATGAAGAATCAGGAGATTAGAATTTGGGAGGACACAAAGAGTGTTTGCACCTGCGCCATTGCAAACGATTTTGAGCCATGTCATTCAGGGTCTCTAACCATTGGTTGCTATCATCTCGCGGTCCCCAATCAGGTAGTCTACACCTACCAACATGACTCAGTCCACTTGTCAGTGACTTCACGGACTTGTGCCATGTTTTGGTCTGGCCGCCCCTAGCTTTCTTCCAATCTACTCCTACACCATAAAACATCGCACGTGTATACAGTCGGTGGTTGGGCATACATAACACGTGTCCCAGCCATCTCAACTGATGAAGTTTCACTACGTCATCAATTGATTTGCCAGACTTACCTAGTACCCGTTTCCTAACAACCACGTTATTTACTCGATGGTCCCAGGATATACGAGCAATATTTCGAAGACACCTATGATCGAATACTAGTAACCTACGAATATCCTCTACTCTTACTGGCCATGTTTCATTGCCATAAAGTAGGACGGAATTGAGTTGACCAGTTCCTTTCCGGTATATGAAACACTTAGAAGCCATACCAATTGCAGCCCCGAGATAAGTTGGAAGATAAACAAACTATAATGGCGATTTTCCTACCGAAATAGCCTGTGCTATTATTATGGAAGTTTTTGATGAACTGGTAATACGGAATTTCCGTCTGTTAAAATTGACATATCGTATTACCTCCCTCACAAAATGATGCGGAATCCTTCTGCGGCAACACTCGTGAGAAGGTGGTAGTTTTAGTTTTTTCACATAATCTTAGATTTTATTGCAAATCATGTTTATTTTGGTTTTTAACCGAGTAAAACTGGCTTACTAATATAAAATATCAAATACTTCGTTTCACCTTAAGTAGTGTTCAGATTATGACTAATGAAAGAATGTTTTGATAATTTTTGTACGGGACTGGATCAATTGGATGTATATTGATCTCCACTGATTGCCCACTGATAAATTGCACAATCTTTTTTTAATGCACAAAACTATATCAAGTGATGAATTACTAAAATAGAAATCGCTATCGGAAGTCTTAGTGTGTCGCAGACTGAGAACAACTCAACACCTGATGTTACCGGGAATGATTACTAGTAGAAAAATGGTCCCCTTAAAAGCTTTAACATTCGAAGTCATGTGTTTTTCCGAGATCATAGACCGATGAAAGACAAATGGATAAAGAGGAGTGTGAAACGAGGGTTGTGACAGGTATTGTATGACGCAGTGGTTGGAAAACATAACGAAATAGCAATCGGTAACGAAGACGCATATCATCCGACATACGATAGCAACAAGCAACACCGTTGTAAATATTAATATACATTTACAGAGTACTACAACCCCTGAACGACACACTAGAAGAAAAACAGGAGATACCTCCTAAACAAGTAGACCTACATCCCAAAAGATGGCCGAACCGACGTCGACGGCGGAATATTCAGTTTCAAGTGAACTAAAGAGGGTTGCGCAATAAATACGATTTACGAGGAAGGAGATCAATATCGATTGGAGATGACTTTTTGTTACATTAATTTATTCAGTCCGAATATTATTCATGACCTTTAATCCATTTTTACTATGATTCGTTTCAACTAAAAACTACTCAGTTACTAAACTATAATCGTTGTAATTGACATATAACTGATTATGTTGAATATCTTCTGTGTTCTTCTGGGTTTTGATCAATAAAGCTTCCTCGCGACAACCACACTGCTTACTTCGATTAAAAAAAGCAGGGAAGAAGAGGATAGCAGTAGTCTCGTTTGTAATGGATTAGGCATCGAAGATACGACTTCAGAAGATATAAATTAATGAAATAAAAGCATCGTGAGAAGTTATGAAGCTTAAAACCTGGGGAAAGACAAAGAATAGATTCACTTGTACTATTGCAAACGATTATGAGCCATGTCATTGAATAATTAGGCAGGTTTTACATCTTGTTGAGCGTACTGAAAAGACTATCCCGTGTTATGCACTGAAGTATATAATTTCAGTTACCAATCTACATATTTACTGGGCTTGATATTTGATTCTATACGAACTTTTCTCAAAGGGATAACTAGTAAGTACGCGATATTATTAAATATGAATACAGTGATCTTGAGTGCTGTTAGAGGCATGCGGGCGGTTACTACTTCCTGGTTGCCCACACCGTGGAAGGATTCTTCAAGAGGTACCTGAAAAGAAAACTGGGTTAGAGGTGGTCTTAGTGACCTGAGTGAGTGACCGCAGTGCACAAGGAGCAACTGCCTGAGCTCAGTCACACAAGACCTTTTAGTACTTCTCGTGTTAGCTCCATACTTGTTGGGACCTTACTGCTGGAGACGAAAGTCCGTGGGATAAGGCGGTGTGCATTTTTGGGGTCGACCTTTTCTAACCCCAATCTTCTTTGTGTAAAGGCAACATCGCTTTTATGCTGGTTGTTTGAAGGAAACACCTTACTGCCGTTACATCCCTGTACAGTCAGGAGTACCACTTCGCCCCCAGACCTTGCGTTTGTTGCTTTTAGTCTTACCGCTCTTTGACCTGCTTATCTGGCATGGTGAGACCTTGAAGAACGATTGTTCCAGACATTATAGCCCGACTAGTTCAGCACGATGAACAAGCCCAGCCACCACGTCAAGGTAGCAGCAACGGTCACATATATCGAAGTCGAGATGTCCGTCTATCAATAAAAGGAACGAGTATACTACGTGGCAGTTCGTTCTGTTTTAATTTACAGCAGCGAAACATGGCCATTAAGAGTAGGAGATACTCGTAAGCTACTAATATTTGACCACAGATGTCTTAGAAATATTGCTTGCATCTGTTGGAATCACCGGGGAAGTAATAGTGAGATTCGACGCATGGTATTAGGGAATGATGGTGAATCAGTTGATGAGGTTGTGAATCTTCATCGACTGAGATGGTTGAGCAACGTGTTACGTATGCCTGAACACCGATTACCACGACGCGCAATGCGGACTAGTGTTGGGGATGATTGGAGGACAGTTAGGGGCGGCCAAACTAAAAAGTGGCATTAGTCATTGAAGCTAATAACCTCTGGTATTAGCCATGTTGGTAGATACAGACTACTTGGTTGAGGTCCGCGCGACTATCATAGCCAATGTTTGGAGACTCAGGGTGACATGGCTCAAAATCGATAACAATGACGTAGGTGTATACACTCTTTGTCTGCCCTTAAACGGTAAGATTAAAATTGCTTTATATCTTTCTTTCCAACAAATAATTCTTTCTCCCTGTATCATATCTTTATATGAAATCATCCTTTTATATATTACGACCACTGAAGTAACTACTTCTGTGAATATGGTATTCATCTTGTGCTAATGAGGTGTGTCAACTTGGAACGACACATATAATTTAGGTCAGTCGATTGAAGTAGGTTAAAAGCCATATTCGGACAAATAATACATCCCTTCATAACACAGTCAACTCCGCCTGGAGTCCCTCCGGGGGCTACTGCCGGTCCCAAGCCCGGATAAAGGAGGAGATTTGGGCATGGGGTTAGCGTCCCCATCCCGTAGAAAACTAACTCGCTAAAAAACGCTAACCAGAAAAAAAGTCATACCACAGTCAACTTCATATAAGCTATCTTATATCCCTTTTAACAGAACCCGAGACTCGTTCTTCGCAACTGGTCATAAAAAAGTCTGAGTGCAGTAGGGTCAAGAACATATGTAAAGTGGACATCTTCAGGCTGAACACTGGTTTACACAAGACAGTTAACAGATAATTGCATTTGTCCCAAACAACTATTATCTTACATCAAGAGGAAGGTAAGACGAAATGACGAGGTTTATTAGCCACAATTATACGAGAACTAAGTGGCCAGCTGAACCAGACCTATTTCTACAGAAACCACCGCTACACTATGTCTTCTCTTAAGTTTGTCGCTATAGTTCCGTATGATGATGACAATCATTTTAGGTACACTAGTGTCGAAGAAGATTCTACGTCATTCTCTACATGCTTTCGAATTATTCCTCAAAATCAAGGAATTTGGTGTATACCGAGGAGTTTTGTTAAACTGTGTAACAATTTTCAGTGTAGCTATTTGGTTGCTACATGATCGACGCTAAAAAGACCTGGCGTCTTGATCTCAAAGTTAAGGGTCTACATGACCCCTCCTAAAATTTCTTAGGGACTACCTGGTATGTCGCGCCCTCAAATGCATTGGAACATCCGAGAGTAGAGAGAGTCATGTCTTCATCTCAAAATGCACTCACATGACCATGTGCATAGAGCCACTACCAGGAAAGTCCTACTCACTGCATTCTCGCGGTAGCAGTAATGTCTAAAAACTTGAAAGGATGAAAAGTGAATGTCCGGTGCTTCAACAGGGTTGGTGGACATGCAGACTCTACACAGGGGAGTTGGAAAACCCTGATTCCCAATCAATAGTGCACATGAGCTCCAGTACCCCGAAGGAACAAATGGTGTATGAACAAACTGTTGATCACAGGCTACCATGGGACTGCATCTCCTGACGTTGCTTCACTGACTTGTGGATCAGACCTGTAGGTAGAAGGCTCCGGGTGTGTTTCCTAGGAAAACCACCTGTTTGTGCTTGGGCACGCAGGCAGTATCTCAGCCCACACAGAGATCAAATGACTTGTGTGGCACATGTGTATCTGGTGCCCCTTTGTACCAATATTTGTGTTTAAATAAATGTTAGGTCGTAGAAAGGAAGTAAGAGTAGATTCCAAGTATTCCGCCTGGAAACTAGTACTTAATGGAGTACCTCAAGGTTCCGTCCTAGATCTTTTACTTTTTATAATGAATGTAAATGAACTCTCAAGTATAGTTGAGTTCATAATGCTACTATATGCTGATGTAAAAATCTAGAGAAATAGCAGGAGACACATACATGAGCACTCCAGGCAGACTTAGAGACAACGATTAGCTGATCTGAAAAAAGGCTGATGCCTATCAACGCGGACAATTGTGTCTACATGCACTTTGACGATACAAAGGTAAATAGGTACAGCGTAGGGGAAGTGCCTGTACCCACGGCCCAGTCTAACAAGGACCTTGGGGTGACAGTGAAACGCGACTTTAAGACCACGCCATACTGCCGCGAGGTTTCAGCTAAGGGGTTTAAAACCCTGTGGACTTTAAGACGGACATTAATGAAGTTAGGTACTGCTACGTTTACTACAGTACACACAATTTTGGTGAGAACTGAACTTGAAAAGCGCGCTCAAACTGGAAGCCACTGCTTAAAAGGTGACTCGGATATCCCGAAAGAAGTACAGAGGGCAGCTACCCGTGCAATTCCAGAACTCCGAGGTTTCCCATATAAAAAGCAGTAGGAAAAGCTAGACCTCTACTCGGTCCTACTGCAGATTAAGAGATGATCTGATTTTGAAGTATAAAATACTAAGAAATGAATTTGGATCTAAAATATCCTCTTTTTTTCCTACCAGATCGGGACAACTCAGAAGACATAGCATGCGATTAGAAAAGCGAGGAACAAACGAAATACCCATGGCGTACAGGTTTTCACACCAAGTCATCAATTCTTGGAACCTGTTACTCGAAGCAGTGTTGTCCGCACCTCCAATTGACTCATTCAAGAGAAGGCTAGACACTCACAGAAGCATGATAAAAAAAAGGAATAACAAAGGCTGTATGTCTTCTGTCTTAAATAAACAAATCTGAGTCTCTTATTCTGTCGGCGAGACTCTAATTTAGGGACGACCTTTGAATAAACCTTAAATGACCTTGACAACTATTAGCCAATCGAAAGACAGTTGGTATAAAGCGAAAACATAAGAAAGTAATGAATTACAGTGGATATTCTTCTTTTACATGACTAAAAAACTTGTTAAGGTTTGATAAAGGTTCAGACGTTCTGAATTCATAATGCATATGTTATAGAAACTCATCCATAGTGTTAGGGGTTAGGGTTAGGGTTTAGATTTAGGGTTAAGGTTAGGTTAAGGTGCTAACAAGCGATCGGTTTACAACGGATTTTAGAGGTTAGGGTTAGGATTTAGGGTTAGCGGTTAGGGTTAGTGTTGTAGCTTATAGTTAGGGTTTAGGGTAAGTGTTAGGGTAAGGGTTACGGTTAGTGTCAGGGTTAGGATTTAGGTTAGGGTTGTATCCTCTGAATAAACACCTCTTCTCTGAAATCCGATGTAAACCGATCGCATGTTAGCACCCTAACCTAACCATAACCTTAGCCCTAAACCCTAATCCCATGGACGAGTTTCTATACCATATGCATTATAAATTCAGAACTTCTGAACCTTTATCAAACCTTAACAAGTTTTTAGTCATGTAAAAGAAGAACATCCACTATAATTCATTACTTTATTATAATATATTTTTACTTTATACTGTCTTCTGATTGGCTAATAATTGAAATTGCTCAAACGCTTCTCATTAGCCCGTCCCTAAATTAGTCTCGCCGTCCCATCTGTTGTAACCTCTCATTAATCACCTCCTCTCTAAAATCCGCTGTGAACCGATCGTATGTTAGGATCGCGCGTTGAACTTAGCTCCGTGACCTTGAAATTGCTCAAACGCTTCTGATTATCTCGTCCCTAAATTAGAGTCTCGCCATTCTGTCCAACAAAACTAGTAAAGCTTGCTCGTCATTGACAACAGTGATTCGTCTGTGGTGAGCCAGAACACGCACAACTGAAGCTCTGATCATAACGTTTTGATATTAGAATGTTTTAGAGAAACACATGAATGCATCACAATCAGCGAGAATAACAGAATACAGGTGAACCGAGAACTTTAATGCCATCAAGTCCTCATACATAACTGGTTTTAGGCAGACACAGCTAAATAAAATATGACTGTAGTGAGGTAAGATAGTGTAAGAAATAGTCAAGGTATCAGACTACAGACCTTGGGAACTAATAACAAATTTGCTCGTAGTTTCCGAAACCAGCATAACTTTAAGACGCAGGAAAACAAGGTTTACGGAAGCTTTCAGAAAGAACTCAGGTACCTAAATCCCCAGGCAAAACTTATTAAAATAAATCAAAAAAAGAATTTCCGAATATATCATAACATAAGCGGAAATAACAATAACTATCAACCTACATGATTTACTTAAATTGCATTTGCTTATGAAAACAAAGGGAAGCAATTTTAGCAATGTACTGTTAGAAATAACTGCGGTATGTTTGATTTGGAATATTTATTGGGTTTTCTTTACACAAATTAACGCTGACCTTGAAAGTTTCATGAAGATTGGTAGCCGCGCCTGAAATTAATTCATCTCGAAAAAGTATTACTCGATTTAAAAAAACGGTTACATGACTTACATTAGAACCAATTCTTTTCGATATCATGAAAGTCAGTTATCATTTATTACGCTAATATACGATACTCTCATATTTTCTCCCTCCTTGTTTAATGACTAGAATATAGTGATTATCTCAGTGGAGAGATGGAATACAATGCACAGTCAGAATGCAACTAGACGATCTGGACATCGTAGATGGCCTAGCTGTTCTATCGTATGCACAAAAATAAGCTCAGACGAAGACTAAAATGTGTGAAAGGAGCTTCTGCATCAGTAGGCTTCAAATTACACAAGGGAAAAAACATGATCTTTAAATGCAACAGGGAAAACACCATAGGTTCAATGAAAAATCACCACGCCCTAGCCGAATCATTCGGCAGTTGGGTCACTGGATGTCGAACAGTGCAACGATCCACGTCAAGGTCGACGACAATCAACAGTGATCAGTTAATCCTAGGTCATGTACGTTTACATGCAGCAGTTGTCTTATTCTATCCCTTCCATCTACTCCTACTAATTCATTTCTACAGTAACGTGGTTTGTTTCGTACCGTCATCAAAGGGAATAGTAGTACTTGGATTAGATGAAAGGATAATTCACGTTAGTTACTAACCGTGAGGTGTGACCACGGCGTTGGTTGTCCTCTATGAAATTATGGTCTTAGTTCGATGTTGGTTTTACTATAATAATGGACCTTATCTCATAATTGTAGGTCTGTCATAATGCAAATACATTATCTATGAGATTTTACATGGAAGTCACAACATCGTCTATTCTGATTCGTCGTATCTTAAGAGTCAGCTACATATCATCACATTTTTCTGAAGAACATACTTTGACTAGATAGAAAGTAATGTGTTTAATACAAACTCAGTGGGTTTTAGTTAGTGACCATGTCTGTATAGCATAGCCATACCATCTTGAATGCTATCCTCCAGCTTTCACCACTTCCAACCTCCTCCTAGTGTTACATGTTGGATGTCAAACTTCTCAGTAATCATATTTTCATCTTCAAGAGTCGTGTGGTTATGAACCAATGCCACTACACTACTCTCCTATTAGAATCAACTTGACGTTGATACGATGCATATTGAGTAAGAGTGTTAAGCGCTAGAGTTTGCCTTATGAATAGTAACAATACTCTGGGTATTATTAAGTTGAATGATAAATAAACTTAAAGGCAGCTGTAACTGATTTAAAATACATGTAACAATTTCAAAATTTTGGTCCTATTACTAACAAGCGAAATGTAAATCCATGTAAAGATTATTTAAGAGTTAAATAAAGTGGGATTATAAGAATTAAGGGTGAGTTAGTATAATATAGTTTACCAAGTCACGTCAAGGCGCCGTATAGTGTGCGCGTAAATAAACAAATAATCCATATTGTGGAAATTTTGATACTGTTATTACCTATAGTTTAAATTCTAAGTATAACCGCACAGAAGAAAAATTGCAACTAGTGTTCCAGCTAGTTTGTTAACTTCAACATGCTTTTCTGGTCGCGGGGAAATTTTCTTGTTGCTTAGCCGTAATTGGATTTAAAAACTGATAATAGACATGAATTATTAACAAAAATTATGTTAATACTTAAAAATACTGATAATTATGTAAAGGTAGAACAGATTGCTGACTGCAGTTCATTACACGTGAGTATATTCTCTAGAAACATGCTCTAGACTAGGCTTATTCGACAGCACTAACTCAATCACACTTGATAGAGAAACCCTGGAAGAAGTGAAATTATTTATATACCTAGACAGCATCATCGGTGAACGTGGAGGACCTGATGAAAACGTAGAGGTAATGAACAACAAATAAAGATCGGCATTCCTACAGTTGAAGAGCATATCGAACTCAAAGCAACTGTCAATCAACGGGCTTCTGTGTCTAATAGCAGTGGATCACCAATGCCTTCAAACAAGAAACTAGGTACATTAACGATAATAAAGGAAAAAAGAAATTGCCAAATCATAACAAGATGTTATCCTTAGTCCTTAAGAATAAGTCAAGTTTCTTCTTAAATGACTTCTGTGAAGTCGCTTGGACTAGCTCAGACGGTAACGAATTCCAGCATTTGACAAATCCTAAAGAGTAGAAGTTATGTATACAGTCCGTCCTACTGTGTTGTGCCTCCAGTTTCTTGTTGTTATCTATTAGGTTTGTGTTGATACTAAGCTTAAGTAAATGTTTAAGGGGTGTTCAGAAATGTTAAGGATACACTGGACCATTAGAAAGTCACCTCTAAGACGCCTGTATTCTAATGGGCAAAGTTTAAGCGATTGGAGGCGTTCTTCATTAGGCTTGAATTTCAGTCCTCGAACTGGATTCGTGGCTCGCCGTTGGATACGCTCCACAGTGCCCTTATCGTTTTGGAGTGAGGGAGTAAACACTATGTTTCCGCACCCTAAATGGGGACAAATAAAACTGTCGAAGATTATGTGGTAAGTTCTTCCATCAAGCTGGCCAAAAATGCGCTTCAATGTTATCAGTGCAAGGTTTGCTCGGAAGGCATTTTTGTCACAGTTAGCGTAAGACTTTAAATCGTAGGGTACCAAAACTCCTAAATCTTTTTCGACTCGAGATACTTCTAGAGATGAGTCGTCTAAGTTGCAGCTGTAGTCTGCAACATGCTGAAGATGGATTACTTTACAATTTGAAGTGTTGAAGGGATGTCCGTTATCATCTGCCCAACTTCGAAGTCGAATAAGATCCTCTTAATGTGCGAGTATATCGTCTTAGTTTCTTATCTCCCACCAAAGTTTCGCGTCATAGGCAAAACGTAATAAGTCTGACGATACCTGTTGTGGAAGATCATTTATATAAACTAAGAAGGAAAGAGGTTTTAGTACTGAGCCCTGATGGACCCCACTAGGACATTCCATAGCATTAGATAGAATGAAGTTAACCGTGACCTTAAAATATCGACTTTTCAGGTATGAAGTCAGCCAATCGATTAGAGGTGATCTGATACCCAATCACTTGAGCTTTTTGATAAGACATATATGGTTGACCCTATCAAAAGCTTTTGGGAAATCAAGCAAATTATATCAACCTTCTTCTTGGGCTCAAGGATGTTCGTCCATCTGTCTAACACAGTTAGCAGATTGGTTATACAAGAGTAACTATTCCTGAAACAATGCTGTTGGGGTGAAAAGAAATATAAGGACAGTGAATAGTCATGTATACCATCGCACATCAGGGAGTCCTTGATTTTTCAAGGTATAGACAAATTGGTGTGATGTGAGTTAGCTTCCAATTTTCTTGTAGTCTGCCTCGGCTGAGCGATTGTGAGAACATCTTACTAAGCGGAGTCGCCAGGATTGAGGCTGCTTCCCTCATCATAGCAGAATGGGCCATATTTGGGCCAGGACAAATGTCTTTTCTTATGTGCTGCAGTTTCCGGAACACCAAGTCAGCGCTTAGGTTCATTACGGAAAGTCCTGTGCAGTTGCAGATGAAGATGTCACCAGTATAGTTGATGCTAGTCGGTTGAAATGTTTGAAAGTATTGTTAAGCCAAAAAGTTAGCGGCGTCGCCATCGTTGTTGGTCGGGCCGTTAAGACCTGCCAGTTGGGAAACCCTAGTTTTGGCTTGACGAAGAGAGGCTGCATAACGGAATAAGCTTTTAGGTTTGGAGGCAAATGTGTCCATAAGTTTTGTCTGGTACTGAAGCCTGTCTTCTCTTATAGCCTTCGTGCATATGTTCCTCATATGTTCATATTGCCTATCCGCTCCGTGGTTATCAGTTCCAACAGTGCCTTTTGCGGCATGGCAGGCGAAGGGTACGGTTCTTGATTAATGTAGGTGGCTTGCAGCTTTTGGGAACCTTTTGAGGAACTGACTGCTTTGTAGCACATAAGAGCGTGTGTAGTAAGAAGTCACAATGAGTATCCACAACGATTTGAGGGTGAGCATCCCAATCCACCTGTTGTAGATAGTCATGTAGAGCTGACACATTCGACCGTTTGAAATTGGTGGGATATTTTAACTTAGTTTTGCTGACAAAACTGAAGGCTATGACGGCATGATCACTTTTTCACAGGGGAGCCATGATTGAGAGGTTGTCAACTAGAAATTCTTCGTTTGTGAATACACAGTCTAAGCGCGATGGCGTCTGACTGTTTCTCCAACAAGTTGCCGACCTCACATTTTTGTACAATCCCAAATCCTCAATGAGGTTGAAGAACCGAGCTTCAGTTGAGTTTTCACACCCAATATAAATGTGTTCCGTGAAATCGTTTCTAGGGAGACTGAAGTCCCCTAGAATCAAGATATGCGTGAAACCGAGACGCGTAGAGAGAAACAGTTTTACCAACATACAACTGTCATACTGGATGTCGGCAGTGGGCTTCCTACATATGACTCTGTAGTGGCATTGGACAATAGCCACACAATCCACAAAGCTGTGTACACGAGACTACTCAGAAAATAGATATTCAATATTTAACGCGGAGAAATACCTAACAATGGAGAAGGCGCGAACAATGAATTGAATGGACCGGAGTTGATCGAGTGGCATGGCTCGGCCATGCAGGCGTGGTCTCTATTCATATTAAATATATTGTTCTTTCTCCAGCCTAACCTTCTTCCTCATCATGTATTGGTAATTGATACGATACAGTGAGTTGGTGTAGTCGATGGTGTGACTTCCACGTAAGATCTTATAGATTAGGCAGTTATATCATGGCAAATCGACAAGTTTAGGATTAGGTCTATTATTAGAGCAGTACTAATATCATAGTAGACCATAATTCTACATTGGTAAGCCCGACTAGAAAAACGCAACCTATTATTATTAATCCTTATTTCCACTTCAACTTTCTCGATCGATTTTATATTTATGTTAACACTGTATTCTAATAGTCCTCTGATTAATGCTCACATGCATTATCGTAATGTTATATTGATTAGTCCTCATGACAAACTAGCTCAATCGATAATAAAAACTGGTCGTCTATATTAACTAATTAGCTTTGATGATTTGTTAACAAGCTGTAATAGCATTTACAT